CGGCGTTTGACACCCGAGACGAAGACGAGGGTGTCAATCCGTCAGGGGTTCTTCATATCAACTTCATATTTTAAATTTGATGTCAATGCCATTTTTGAAATTATGAGGTTTTAATGTTTGCTATTTTTTAAAAGCGTACTTTTGTAAGCATATACGAGTTAAACAATGAGTGCCGAATTCAAGTGCTGCTTTCACGGTATGATGGTATGGTGTTTGTATATTTTGCATGAAATTTGCGATATTTAAGAAAATCGCGTTTTGCTTGTGGCAACATTGACGAGCGCAGAAAAATTGACGATTTAAACGACTTTGAGATTGAACTTGTAACAAAGATATCATTTAGAAATTGTAAGTAAAATTTAAATTATAATAAATAGTTGTCGATAATCCTACGTAATTAATTAAAAACGCATATTGGTTGGTTATTAATGAAAATACTTTAGAAAATTTAATAACAGTGACAGGTTCAATTTGTCACATTTAATTCTGCGCACATGTGCGTAGAAGTCCGTGCGTAAAAGTAAAACAAATGACCAGTAAAGAAAAGTGCTTCTTTTTTAGCATCGCTTCTGATCGAAAAATTACACTTTTAGATTAATTCGAATAAAAACAATTTTATAGACCTATAGATAAGATAAACTCTAGGTGAAAGCTTGTAAATAAATTGTTGAATAAAAACATTGGTTTTATTCGAATGAATCTAAAAGTACCATTTTTCGATCAGAAGCGATGATCAAAAAGAAACACTTTTCTTTACTGTTCATTTGTTTTGTTTTTACGCACGGACGTTTACTCACATGTGCGCAAAAGTAAATCTGACAAATTGGACGTGCCACTGTCATAAAATTTTCTGAAGTATTTTCATTAAAAAGTAAACGACAGGCTTTTTTAATGAATTACGTAGGTTTATAGAGAACTATTGATGATAATTTAAAGTTTACTTACAATTTGTAAATTATAAGATTGTTACAAGCTCAGTCTCAAAGTCGTTCAAATGGTCTATTTTTTGTGCTCGCCGATGTTGCCACAAGCAAAACACGAGTTTTTTAAAGATCGCAAATTTTATGCAAAATATGCATCTTATACAAACACCATACCGTGAAAGCAGCACTAGGATTTCCAACACTCATTGTTTCACTTGTATATGCTTACAAAAGTACCCTTTTGAAAAATTACAAACGTCAAAACATGACAATTTCAAAAATGGCATTGACATCAAATTTTAAATATGAAGTTAACGGATTTTATTTTTGGCTATTTTTATTTATTAAAACTCATTATTCTTGTTATGTCCTCTATTCGACTAAAAAATATTGTTCGATACGAGGGCGAAAATCCGTTTTTCGAACTCCTGACGGATTGGCACCATCAACTTCGTCTCGGGTGTCAAACGCCATTGTCGTTCGCACAACGACACTTTTCGCCCTTGTATCGAAAACTACTATTTCATAGTGGTATACTGACTTCGTGCCGAAACAAGCTTATCGGTATGTGTATTTGTGCATGTACCGGTACATTAAATTTAATAAAATTAACTTTTTAACATTTTTACATATACCATAACAATGTGATGTTGCTCAAGTTACTACATTCAGTAATGCTTTAATTTACTATTTCACTTAAAGAAGGAACTAAAAGCGTAACGCAATTAAATTTAATTTTCTCCGAAGCGGGAAACGGAAACGGGCCAAATTTGTTTCTGAGCCTTAGTCAAACCATTACGTCTTGAGAAAAACAGATAGTCTGGAACAAATTAGATGAGGTGTTTTAGAAGAGGTCCATAATGAATGAAATTCCAATTTAATAAAAAAAAACCAAATGTATTTTCGAAAGAAAACTATAGTTGTGCTAAGTTTATAAAATCTGAAAAGAGTTTACAAATGTTATTATGTTTCATCCATTTGACTTACGACTACGACATTTGACATTTGACATGATGTTTCAAGCAAAAGTAACCATACAGACAAAATCTAGATGATAAGTAATAAACACGCAGTTTGTTCTAGTAACCGTGGTAATTCTGTTCAAATTACTAAATGAAAAGAATGCAGTTGGTTTTTGTTTCCAAATGCAGTTGCTAATTTTTAGTGATTTAATCTTTGTCAGAATTAGAAACATGAACCTAATGTTCGCTGCCGATTACTGGATTACTGCTTTTAAATAAATACATTTTCTTAAGTTACTCACATCTATAAGCAAATTATTTGGCATCGTAATTCGAATTCTGTTTTTTCACATTCATCAATGACGAAAGTCGGTAAATTTCGTCGCAATTAAGATAACAATGGAAAAATTACCTTCACTCATAAATAACATCCACATCGTTTTCGACCCAATTTTGATAATAAAACTTTTCATAATAGCAATTTTTCATCAGATAGGACAGCCGCACTTAGCAGAGGTCTAATAAAAAGTGCTACTGTAAGCGCTTAAAATTGAAAGAATGGCACTTATAAAGCCAAATTAAAAATTCCCTCTTTAAGTGAAATTGGACGTAGTAAAAGGATAAGCGAGTGAGATTTTACGACAGCCTCAAAGAATATGAGACTAACAATTTCCTTAGAATTATACTTGTCTGCTTCAGCTTAATTGAATATTGTTTCTAAATTATTGAGCTTTAGAGAGGATTAATGTAAAATACATTTTATTGTTTGAATGCCTCAATAACTCAACATTTCCAAACTCGTATGTGACAGTAGACAATCAAAGGAGAAAAAGAATGCTGTTTTCCGAAGTTTCTTCATAACCAATCTTCATTCCAGAAACAGAACTGGGGAGGAGCAACTAAGCATAACATTTTCTTTCAACTGTTCTCTTCTGAGAGTAACATATATTAAATCACATTGCATTCAAGCTTCTAAAAATAGCCACAAAAACCCAGAAAATGTAATTACAATCCCACAGCAGCATTCGTATACATTTTACAGTTGGATTTAATCTCGCAAATCATATCCAGACGCTCGTAAATAACTACGCGGCTCTTGTCACTATCATAAACAAACATGTAAACTGTTATTTATTTGGATAGCGGGTGAACCGTTACTGAGATTTGGTAGAATTATTATAATTATTCCCAGGTAAAAAAGGGGCCGTAACTGAAACATCAATTAGCCCGCTGTTTGGGCAGAGTTTTTATGACGAATCATTAAAATTAAACAACTCAGTAAATGTTAAAATAAATTAAATGACTTGAATAATTAGTTGAAATCAGTTCCCAGTGATTGTAAAAATTTTTGGATAATTTATTATTGCAATATTAAAATTAGCCAAAGTTATCTCTCTAATCGAGATAGGCACTATTGCATGTATGTCAAAAAATTGTTCGAAGTTATTATTTGTTGAAAATAACAAATTAAACATAAAGGTATAGGTAGTCAACAAGATAGCATGGCGTATATAATTTTCTACAGAGTGCTATCAAAAAAGTGTTATAAAAGTAGGTACAATTTTTCAATAAAGTTGATACTGCCTCAAGTAAGTTTTCTTTAAACGCTGCTTTTCGGAATAATAGACAAAATCTAATAAACTTAACTGCCGGGCAATTTACATAGTACCGAATACCGCGTAATTTAAAACTACATAATAGCTACATAGCTAGAGCAAAGACATTATTTGAAATAAACATACACATAACCAGCACAAAAACAAATAAAAGTATACATCAGATCAAGTATCAGTATCAAATACCAAGTTGAAAGGTGAATGTTATAAATCCAATTTCAACGGGACATCCAGTAACCGATAGAAAACAAAGCAAAGAATGCACATGTACCACAAAATGTATAAATAAACTTTCAGAAACCGAAAAGCTAGATATAATAACGGTCTTTAATAATCTTACCGATCAATATAAACATGACCCGTATTTATCAAGTTTAATAAAAGTTATTATTTTATTATTATTAATTTTATGTTGCCGGTTACCCGACAACATAAAATTAATAAAAAAATCACATATATAAGAATAAGGTAATTTGTTGTTACTTAATTGTTAATTTTATGGTATTTTGTCATATGAAGTGTTTATCATTTTCTAGTTGATAAAAGGCTCCTGTGAGGTAGAAGTTTGTGAAATGGTAATATGTCTTCTTGATGGTATAAGGAAAACATGTCTGGATTGCATTGCAGCTCATCTTGTTACAAATCCTACACCTGTCCAGTACAAAGTAGGCCGCCATTTGAAATTTAAATTAATTTTTTTCTAAAGCGAGGCATGATTAAATCAGTGGCTTTTCAAAACTGATCTCCAATTACACTCTCAAAAGAAATGAGAGACATTATTTGAGCGGCGATTTCAATATTTCAATCATGTATGATTTAAACATTACAGGACCGTGTTTCATACATACCAAAAATATCATATGGTTTTTACGGAATATATTTTCGTGAAAGTTTTGGCGATGTCTTAAGGTGTTTTGCATTATTATATTGACAATATTTGGCATAAATAAATTAACATACTGCACCAATTTATTTAGCGACAACTGTGTTGCGCAAAATAAAAACAATACTTTAGTAAGGTTTTTAATTCAACGTTTCCTTGAGCCAGGGCATAGTTTCCTTCCCTGTGATCGTTATTTTGGGATAATCGACAAAAAGAAAAAGGGTATTGAGGAAATTTTTTGGTCGCACCAGTACTTGAAACTTTCGTGTCGTTTCTGTTACTCAAGACATGATGCATAACTACGTTGAACATTTAAAACCTTTTCTTATTCTTGTGCCGAGAGATCCGTCTAAAGATCTCTATTTCTAAATATCGTGTATTTAAGTACACTAAAAATTCGGATGGTGTCAAATGTAGCTTGTCTGAAATCTTACAAATATATGTATATATCCTTTTCTTACACGTTTTACTACGCTTAAAAATAATTATTTAAAACTTAATTTCAACTCCTCGAAACCTAATTTTCTGCCAGAATGTTACGAAAATATATTACCTACTGAACATGTCAAATATCAAATTGTTATGTTGTTAGCCAATGAATATGTAGGAAAAAATTTAATGTATTATTTTTTTGTCATGTTCTGAAATCAGACAAAACTAGGTTAGAAGAGTGAATTATATCCAGATGTCACATCTATCCTGTAGCCCAGTTGACTACTATTCGGAATAATTTTTGTGAGGTATAAGATTAATTATTGTTTATAATAATGATCTATAAAATAGGACGTAATACACAGTATAATCTTACTAATCCGGCACTTCAATAGACCGATACGTTCAACAATCCGTCTCCCGTCGCCGCGTCGTCGTCTAGCAATCTAACCTCAAAACTTCTTTTTTTTAGCTATTGCCGATTGGTTGCACAATCTATCAGAAAGAGGATTGGAGACAAGTGAAGACACTTTAACTTCTTGGCTTGAAGGGATCAAAGAAACAGAGCAAATTATGATAGATAAAGAAATATGTGAAGCAGTACAATAAGAAGAAAGCCTGGTAGAAATATTGGAGGCACCAACTTCTACATCTATAAAAGCTAAACCAGATAAAGCATTTAATTAAACAATTAATTGTTTCAATACCTGCATAACATGGGCAGAAGAAAACGGCACATCTGCCAAAGATATACAAGGGACATGAAAAGACTACAAGCTGCACAAAAGCATACCGCAATTAAGGATTACATATTTTAAAACTTACATACATGTTAATTTTGAGATATGTTACAGTTACTATAAAACCTATCGAACAAGAACACAAATATGTACCTACATACATTATATGTATTCTCTTTATGAAATGCTTTATTTTAATTATTATAATTTTTTCTATATAATCCAGTAATCCGAACATTCCAATAATCCTGCACCCTCTGGTTTTTAATTAGACGGACTAGGGAGATTGTGCTGTATTTATAAGAAATGACTAATCAAAAACACAGCACCGGGAAAAGACAAAATAAAGGCAAGACTCCTGAAAACCTTAACCCAAGACACCCACAAACTCATCTTTATTGAAATTATAGCAGCAGAATTATAGCGGACTACATATGCTTGTTTTTGTTTGGTCTCATTTTCTGACCACCTTAAAATCACATTAAAACTAAAAAGTTGTTTTGGCTTGTTTGGAAACATTTCATGTTGTTACTTATCCCCTAATGGCATCAAGGTCTTCAATTTATTGCCTAAGTACCAAATTATTTTAGCATAAATACATTTTTAAAATCATGACCTTTTGGGATATTTTTCCTAATACTGAAACGCGATTTGAAGCAAATCAACGTTTTTCATATTGGAAAACACGAATTTCTAAATAAATAACTCAACTACATAATTAGGATCACCTTTAAACTGGTAAAATCAACAAACATCACAAAATTCGATCAATAACTTTTCATAATGAGATTTGCTCAGATTTGAGTTTATACCGTGTAATTGTTTATACTCCATACATAATCATTTTAAACGCTTACACTCGCTTAATTTTAATTTTCAAAGCATGGCTCATCTGTGGAATTTGAATACATTGAGTTAGAGGAACAAAACCCCGCGTTATCAAGCCACTTTAATCACCTCATTAAAACTTAAATTAGGTTTTCTTTGCAAGTGACATTTATCTTGCGATTTCTGATCCATGAAAACAAACAGTGAGAAAATTATCTTTTAATAAGAGTTCAGTAACTCTCTGCGGTGACGTTTTGATACTTAAAAATAATTAGACAACGTGACTAGCATTTCCGATGCGAGTCTGGAACAGTTAAGAGTCGAAATTAGTTATAAATATACAGCGTGGTTTTTTAGTGCGATAGAGTCCATTATTTCCGATGGTATTGAACTTTCTAAAAATAGTTTCATATAAAAGTTGTTGATACACAAAGTGCACACATTTTAAAAATATCTCAAAAGAGGTAAG